CATGAGTTTATTGAGTATGATTATTGCTAGGATTTCTAGTTGCTCAGTGATTATGTGTTCAGCTACCAATTGATAGGTCAGTTCCTTGAGAACCCACCAGTCACTCCAGAGGAGTACATGTGATCCTTTATTGACTTGGGAACCTTATGGGGCAGTTTTATTCTGTCCTATAGAGTCACTGCAAGTCAGAAACAAGGAGAAGACAGCAACTGTTATTGACAATATTAAACATATGGAGTAGCTGCTAATAACTAGCCTATTTAAAGTTCAGTTACTATTTATAAAAAAAGGAGCTCTGGTGGCTCCATGGTAAAGAGTTATGTTGCAACCTGAAGGCATGTGGTTCGAATCCACCAGCTGTTCCATGGGAGAAAGATGAACAGTCTCCTCCCATGAGATTTATGTCCTCTGAAAAGCAGCTGGAGGGTCAGCTGTCAGTTCTGACTAGACAGTATGCAACAACATTTTATAACAGAGGAGTCTTGATAGCATTTCACGTAACAGTTTGAGCTGCTATCTTAAGGCTCTGCAACCTGAATCCACTGCTCCGCACTCCATGGGAGAAAGATTTCTCCTATGGAGAACTCCTGTAAAGAGTTACAGCCTCTAAAGTGTGGTGATGGTATCTAAGAGTTGGAAGTGACTAGACTGAAGTAGGTTGGGCTTTTTTAATTATTGTTGTTGTTTATCTCATTAGAGAAGATGTTTTAGTTATTTAGTGCTGCTATAAGAGAAATGGCATAAATGAGTGACTTTAACAAGCAGAACTTTATCTTTTGTTTAGAGTTTATAATTCCGAATTCAGTCTGGGGAAGATCCATATTCCTTGCTTCCCTTGGTGATCTTCACATGACAGAGTGTATATGCGCTCTCATTTTTATTGCCTTGATTTACCCCTTTTACATCTTGTAAGAATCTGACTTAAGACAGCCTACCCTATTCTACTCGTACTAACATAGCAAAAAGAACCCATTCTCAAATAAAATGTTAATCATAGACATAGATGTTATATTGATATCACGTATTTTGGCATCACAAAATTCAGTCAATAACAGAGCTCGTAGGTGTGATTGGTTGTATTCCTTCCTTTATAGTTGATCTTGATCAAATAAATAGAAAAATATCTGAATTTACAATTTTCTATGTCAACCAATCCAATTCCCTTTATAATCTTTTGTGTTATTGGTTACTGTCTAGATAACTAGTATTTCCTATTACATATGTCTGCTGATATAGCTTTGTAGACAGAATGTCTGACATACTGGAATTCTCTAACTAGAGTATATTAAAAATGAGTTATCAGCCATTTTAGGACAGTCATGTTGTCATTACTGTGGAATACAAATTTCAGGGGCCGTATTCATTATGCCTTCTTATTATTCTTGGAAAGTTTAACTTAAGATGTTATTTTTTGCCCCCCTGCTAAGTATTAAAAGTCTGTCTGTGTCATTCTCTCTTTGGCCATCATTGTAAAAATAGATGCTGTAGCCAAAGTAATTAATGTGCCTTTAAAGTGTACTGATTCATACTTCATACATTCCAGGTGATGATTATTAATGGATAGTTGCAGCTGTTTCTTCTCTTTTCTGGGGTGAGCCACATCAGAAAATAAAAGTCCCTAATACTTTATTCTGTCCATTTCATTAAAAGTTGGCTTTACTTTCCTGGTTGTATTTGAAGTGCCTTCCAACCCGAGAGGTTCCTCAGACAATTTCCCTGCTATCCTTTTAATTTTTCACTATTTTTGTTGTTATTGTTGTTTTGTTTTGTTTTCTTCAAAAGTATATCTTCAATTTTTTTCCTGACCTATCTTAGTTTTGAAGATTTATTGAAATCTATCCACCATGGTAACTCTGATTTGATTTAAAACACTGGTTACATAACTTTAGGAATCATAGCAATGCACAAACCACCACAATACAACAATCAAACAGAGTCAAAATGAAAATACCTAGCAATATCCATTAATAATAAAAAATGCAACATCTGAGGAAGGAATCTAGGAAAATGGAAAGTCTCAAAAAGGTAATGGCACACATAAAGATCAGTATCCTACATGTTAGTGTGCTGACATTGACTAGTATTGGTCATTTTGAATCAGTCTACTATGCCAAGAAAACAAATTGAAGAAAAATGGCATTGGAATCATCATTTTTTTTAAAAAAAATCAAGATCTACCCTGTAGTACAAAACTGTGAGTGACAGAATAATATCCATATTCATACAGGGAGGTCTGCTAATTCAAATTTATGCACCAATCACTAAAGCCAAAGATGAGGAAATTTAATATTGTGACCAACTTCTGCAGTCTGAAATTGATCAAACATACAATCAAGATGCATGAATATTAGCTAATGATTGTGAAGCAAAAGTTGGAAACAAAGAAGAAGGATTGCTGTTTGTACAGTGTGGCCTTGATTACAGAAATGAAGCCAAAAATAGCATGATAGAATTTTCTATTACCAACTGATTTTTCATGGGAAATAACTTATTTTTTTAAAGAAACCAGCTATATGACCCAGCTATTTTACTACTTGGAATATACTCTGAGGAAATGATAATTGAGGAACAAACTGAGATTTGTACATCAATGTTCATAGCAGCATTATTCACCATCACAAGAACATAGAAAGAGGCAGAATGTCCAACCACAAACAAATGGATTGAGAAAGTATGGTGCATTTACACAATGGAATACTATGCAGCACACAGGAGTAATGATTTTGTAAATTATTACCTAACTAGGGAGGGACTGGAGAGCATTATGCTGTGTGAACTAACTCAATACCACAGGATAAGTATTGTATAAAACCATTATTGTAGAATATAAGGATCTAAGAGGGGTGGGAGAAAGTGGAAGCAGAGGGATGAGGATGTGCAAGGAGAGGGAAGGATTAATCATGGGGTTGTATAATTTGATGGGCTGGTGAGGGAAATTAAATGAATTTGTTCTTAAAAACAATGTATTCGAATTTTTTAAATAAACTAGTTGTTGTTGTTGTTATGTGCTGTCAAGTCAACTGAGACTCATAGTGACCCTGTGCACAACAACCCTGAATCTTACTCTATACCTTGCCAATCTTATTGTCTCTGACACTAGAAAATTGAAAAAGAAGGAGAAAGTTAACTAGGAAGATGTGGGTAGAAGTTTACAAGGGGGAAGTGTGGGTGCCGGGGTGGGGCAGAGACTGGGGAGATGAGGGAACCACTAGAATAACACAGTATGGTGAGCAGTGGGAGGATGAGGGTGAGGAATTAGGAAAGATCCAATGGAAACCTGAAAAGATGGGGTAATAGTAACCATAGATCAATGGCAATTAATTTTATAAAATACAGTGTACAAGAGTGATTCTTTGAAGCACTATGTAAATGTAGGAATGTGTGAAGTGTAATTACATGAGTGATACACAATAAATATATAAATTCTGCATGCAAATCAATATTAAATAAAACGAAAACAAGGGGAAATAAAATATTAATGTCTTTACTTTATAAACAAACACAGAACTATACATGTACTTCCACCTCATGAAATACACAGAAATCATATTGACTACATTTGTGGAAAGATAGAGCTCAATCATCAATTAGAACAAGACTAAAGGATTCACAGCTGAACAGACCCCTGACATTCATATGCAAGTTCAAGTTGAAGTTGATGACTGTTAAAACATGTCCATGAGAGTCAAAGGACAGTACTTAATATATCTTAATGGACTTAGAGAGCTTCTGAAAAATACATTTGATTAACTGAACACTAATGATCAGAGCTGTGAGATGACATTAATGACATCCTCCAGGAAGAAACAGAAATCTTATTAAAAAGGTAGACAAATAGAAGACCAACTGGATAACATAATAAACTCTTCAACTTGTTGAACAATCTAAAGTGAGTAGAAGAAATTATGTAAAAAAGTTGAAGAACAAGATTTTCAAGGCCAAACCAAGAAAATAATGTAAAGTATTACAAAGCAATTTACAAATACTTTAAATTGAAAAACTAAAAAGGGAGAACACACTTAACTTTTTCAAGCTGAAAGAAATGATCAGAGATAATTCAACCCGTAAGTCTCAATAATGAAGAATTCTACAAGCAAAATACTGAATGACACATGAAATATCTAAAGACGATGGAAGAAATAAAAAGTCACTGGAGCTCTGGTTGCGTATCATCTAAGGAGTTTTACTGCCAGCACAAAGCCAGCTGCCTCAAGTTCATCTGCTGCTTTGTAGGAGAAGGATGGACAGTTTTTCCCCTTGGGATTTATAGTACCTGAAAACCTGATGGACAGTCAGCTGTGTGTTGATTCTGACTCAACAACGATGAGTTTGAAGACTGTTTGGGACTTTTTACTATCAAAAACGTTTGGCCAACATTGAATTTATAATATATAAAATTTGGAAGCAGGAGTAGCATCCACATCCTAAACAACATGGCTCCGGAAACTCTGTGTACTTTGATAAATGTCGATAATTATAGAAAGGCTTCAGGCCTTTTGTTCATAAGGTCACTCAACTTGAAGGCAATCAACAACAACAACATATATATATAATATATTCTAGCATATATGCTTAGGTAGATACACTGTAAGCATTATAAATCTTATTATTCTAGTAAATTTATATTTTCAGTGTGGAAATTAATTGTATTAGAGTTAATGATTGATTAGTCACTTCTCCTAAGAAATATGTATACTTGATAGTGATTTTAATGAATATTTAAATATAATATTTAAATTGTTAATATAGTCATACAGCTTTTAATTGAAAATTCTTTTATTGTTATGTTTATCAGTTTGTATAAGAGACCAAACAAGGGGACAGAGTCGGGCCAGAAATAAATATTTGCTAAGGAGTTAAGAAGTGCAATATGATGTGTATACTATATGCTTAATCAGTTTTTATTGAATTAATGAGTTGGAATTTAATTCTTATCCCCTATGTTCTTGCTGATCTGATATTATGAAAAATCTTACTTTTATTACTATTTCTTATAACAGGAAGTTATGTTCAAATTAGACACATATAATTTGGAGTCTGGCAGATTGAAATGTCCTTTTGACCCTCAGCAGCCTTTTGCTTCAGTAATGACAGGTAAGATCAACAACAGGCATTTCTTGCCGATAGGTGATTTTCTGAGAAGACATTCAGAGATTAGGTCACCTTTTTTTACTAGGTTAAAGACCATTTTGGATTTGTCTTCTAGTCATTATTTGGCTCTAGATCATGCCAAATATGTGTATAACTGACATTTTTATTAATAACCGAAGATCCTAGCTATCATTAATGCCTGCACAGTTTCTTGTTAAATAATTTCTTAGTGAATTATTTTATAATGTAAATGACCACATTACTTGTTCTATGGTTTGCACTTAGACATTTCAGATTCATAAACTGAACAATGTCTCTATTTCCATCAATAAAATAGTAAAATTTAGCTAATGCCTCAATGCAATATAAAATATATTTTAAAATACATTAAATATTTGAATGTAATGATTAATAATAACATATAAGTGGGAAAGTTAGTAAACAAAATAAATCAAACTATAGAATAGATATAATCATTACAATACTTTTTTCCCCATATAATTATCCTCTGCTAAGTCATTTGAATGTTATTAATTAATTCCTACTATCTCCAATCTTTTCTCACATTTTATACATCCCAAATTGCTCTATGTGACCACCATTCCATTCAAAGAAGGGAGAATTGTGTGATCTGAAGTCTTTTCTAAGGAATAAAAGTTTGACCTCTGAATTTCAATCATTACAATAATTCTTTTTGTCTTGGCTGTTTTATTCTCTTTCAAAATTTAACTATCTTTCCATTTAACTTGTTTATCAAAAGACTTCTTGTGTTAAAAAGCAAAACTATCACTTAAGTTCTAAGTTGCTTCTGATCTAAACTGTCTTATTTTTTTAATTATCTCATATACATTTAAAAGCTGGACAGTGAACAATATAAACCAAAAAAGCATTAATGGTTTTGGTAAATATTGAATAAGCCATGGAGTATTCAGAAGAATGAACAAATCTGTCTTGGAAGTAAAAATTATCCTTTGAAAGAAAGAATAACAAGACTTCATCTTACGTATTTTGGACATAGTATCAGAAGGGACCTATCCTTGGAGAAGAATAGGATCATATTAATAATGAATAAGAGGAATCTCTTCAATGGGATGACTTTATAAAATTGCTGTACCGATGAGCCCATCGGTTAAGCATAGTAAGACTGAGAGTAGGACAGGACCAGGCATGTTTCATCCTGTTATACAAAGGGTCACTAGAGTTTGAACTTACTCAAAGACACCTAATAACAAATAAGAGTATTAAATGAGAGGACCACAATTGTATTTTAAATCAATTAGCATTCATGATCTTACCTTGAAATGAAAGCATGTACCTCTCCATGTATTAAAAAAATTATACAATTAATGTCCAGTTGTTATTCTAAGAAAATAATATTTTGATCAGATTTAGTTAATATACACTGGAAAAAATTCTAAACATCAACAGTTAACCAAATAAAATACTAAGGATTGTAGGCAGTAGTAACCCCTGCTAAGAACTTCTATGTAACTATGAATACAAAGGAGACAGATTTAAAATGTATGTGGATACATCTAATCTTTAAGATGTATCAAGCTTATTTGTCCTAAAAACGTGTTCAAGTATCAGCCATAATATATGCTCCAAAATAATGGTTTGCTTCCTGTATTCTTTCCAAATTTGTTGTTGCCCTTTGCTCCTCTTCCTCCTCCTCCTTTTCCTTGTCTTCTTCTTCCTCCTCCTCCTTCATCTTGTGATAAAATATTTCAGACAAATGCATCTAGTGAACACACTTAGGTTTCTCTATTTTTTATGTCTTTTGGGTTTGTTTTTCCCATTAGATGCAGACTACTTGTCATTTATTACTTTGTGCTGTCCTTAGTAGTACAGAAAAAGGCCAGTTTAGACATACAATTAGAGAATTTAGAAAGTATCAGTAAAAGGAGCAGTTACAATGTGGAGGTGACCAAGTCTGATTTCTGCACACTTCATAAAGGGGAACTGTCCCAATCCATAACACCCATACAAATAGCTACATGGTCAGATATGATGTCCTATAAGCTCTTGTGCCTACACCTCCTAAACCATGAACTTTACTTAAATTTTAAGACAAAGAAGTGTGGTATGCAGTATTTGCAACATTTTTTTTCTTTATTCATAAATCCTTATTTATCACCAGCATTCAAGATGTGATTAGCTACAAGAAATGCAATATGTTATGATTATGAAGAATTACTTCAGTGCTTAAAGCTGTCTTTCAGCAGAGGTTAGGTAAGGAAAAATTGTGGTCACTGAGGTTGGATCAGTTAAATAAATTCTAATTATACAATCTACTCCTTATTATGACCTGTACCTTTTAATATGTGTTCCATGTTGCTACAAAGAGAAACTTGTAATTATGCTCTATTACTGAATTGATTATGGGGGGAAAAAAGAGAAGAACAGCTTATTAGAAAGACAATGTAATACATAATACTAATTCATTTGGAAGACCTACCATTTTTATATTTAATCATCTAGTATCAGGTTAGTTATATTAATTGAGTTCTAGTTCTTCAACTAAGCACATTTTTTAAAATCTAAAGTGAAATCTGTGAGACAATATATGCTGATGTTAAGCAGTAAACATCATTCATTTCATGCTGTGACATTAGTATACTGTAAATAGTATCTACTGCTGTCGTCTTAGAAGTCTTACATATTTTTTTCCTCTCTTTCAGATGAGTACCTCTACTCTGGAACTGCTTCTGATTTTCTTGGCAAAGACACTGCATTCACGCGGTCCCTGGGGCCTACTCATGATCACCATTACATTAGGACTGACATTTCAGAACACTACTGGCTCAATGGTTAGTAGTTTTCTCACTTTTGATTGTTTTTCCTTTGCTATTTATTCGATAAGGGAACTCATTATTATTCATTCAAGAGTGCTTTTGGAGAATTCATTTAGCTCAGCATATAAATGGATTTAAAATAATCCCCTACTAAGTTAAACCCCAGAGGGCAGTTGTCCCCTGTCCTACAGGGTCATTATGAGTTAGAATCAACTCAGCAGCAGTGAGTGTGCTTTTATGTCAGAGAAGCTTCTAGAAGTGCTTAAATAATACTAATTTGCTGTTGTTAATTACTATTGAGGTGGTTCCAACTCATGGAGATCCTATGTATGTATAAAAATGACTCATCACTTGGTTCTGTGCCACTGTGGAGTTTATCTCTCAAAATTTCTTTCCTCGCTATCTGAATCAGACCTGACATATGGATGGGCGGGATGCACAAATAGGGCATGTTAGCCTGTCCACAAGAGGATTGGCTATCTCACCATTCCAAAAGGGGATTGGCCTGTCTCAACAGTCTAGAAGGGGATTGAATAGTTTTGCCAATAAATTGATCAGCTTCCTCAGCCAGTGAAGAAGGAAGACCTTCTCCATCCCACAAAAAAATAAGCAGCAAAAGATTATAGGATGCCAGGTACACCTACGGCAGCAGGAGCCATGGCCAAACTAGAGAACTGATGTGTGATGGGACCTTAGTACTGCTACACCATTGAAACTGGAGCTGAGAACCTTTGCACAAATTTGTTGGACAACTTGGAGTTGGGGAGGGGAGGGAGGTATAATTATCAAGACTGAGGACTTCTTAAAATTGGCTAAGACTGTGGGGTAGAGGCCTATCAGTATTGGCAGGACTTAGAATTTAGTAACACGGGCTTAAAGCTCTAAGAACAAGGCTGAGATGCCAGGGTACATATTTAGAGAGCCATCCTGACTGCATTCTGTAACTTACCTGGATTGTAAACTTTGAACTTCCCCAATATGGTTCTGTGTGGTCTATGAGCTATGGCATTGGCTTTTAGACCCAACAAAGTATTAAGATTGGTGTTGAGATGAGTAGAAGAATGTATGGAAGCATGTCTGATCTCATGTTGTTGTTAGGCGCCAACGAGTCAAGTACAACTCATAGAGACTCTATGAACAAAAGATCTGAATCTGTCCTATCCTGTGCCATCAGCACACTTCCTGACACACTAAAGCCCATTGTAGTAGTCACTGTGTCAGTCCACCTAGGCATGGGTCTTTCTCTCCTTTGTCAACCTTCCATGCTTCCAGGCATCATGGTCCTCTCCAAAGAATAGACCCTCCTAGCAGCATGTTCAACATCCTTGCCTCCAAAGGGCAGTCAGGCTGCACCTCTCCAAGACATATTTGTTTGTTCTTTTGGTCATCCATGGAATGTTTTGTGCTCTTCTCTAACACCACAGCTCAAAGGTGTCAATTCTTCCTATTTATTGTTCAGCTCTCAAATGCTTAGCGAGTGATTGAAAAGATGATGGCCTGGATCAGACACACTTTAGTCCTCAAACTGACATCAGTACTCATCAATAATTTGGGGAGGTCCCTAACTGCAGTCTTTCTCAGTACAATATGTATCCTTATTTCCTGACTGCTTCTACTAAGAGTTGTAATTGTAGATCCAAGCAAGATGAAGTTGACAGATTCAATCTCTTCTCCATTCATCATGATATTGCCTTTTGGTCCAGTGGTAGGAATCTTTGTTTTGGTGACACTGAGAGATAATCTATATTGAAGGCTGCTTTCCTTGACTCTCTGCAATAAGTGCTTTACTACAAGTCCTCTTTACTTATAGCAAGCCAGGTTGTCATCTGCATAATACAAATACCTTTTTAAAAAGACACAAATAACAACTTTACACATAGATCTCACCTGATGAGCTGCATATAAATCAAATTACTATCTCTGTGGAAGAAATTATAAAAAGAAGCTCAATATTTGCAGTCAAAACTAGGCCAGAGAGGGTCAGATTATCAATTTCTCTTATTCAAGTTCAAATTGAGGTAAAAGAAAATGAAAATAAGTCCACAAGAACCAAGACATTTTCTTTTTTTCATCATTATTAAATTTTATTAGTTTTAATGAACATTTACAGAGATTTTGGGTTCTCATTTGTTCATTGTTGCACTGTTTTCTCTACCCTCCTCCCCAGTTCATTCTTCTTCCCCCCGCCCCAAATGTCTGTTTTAATTGTCCAATGCCACAGTGCTTGTCAAAGCCAGTTCCAGTTCTGATTAATCTCCTTTGTCAGTGTGTCCTTTGCCATTCCCTATCACTCCTCCCTGAGAGAGACTTCACCCTGATTCATAAGGAAAAGGGGATGGCGTATTCTCTTAGCTAATTCCTGCTGAAAAGGGACACTGTGGGTTTCAGGGTGAAGATCTTTTCTCACTACTCTAAAGGGCCCCTTTGGCAGTAGGAAACACATAGACTATTATGGAGATTGATTTTGGAATTTGGATGCACTGTTATTAATTGTGCTTAGCCATAAATGTTCATATCCTTGAAGATGTTTCATGGAAGTGTTGCAACCTAGAAGCCACAAATTCAACTAACAAGTTAAAAGTACATGAGTCAAAAATTAACAAGCAATAATATTCCGAGTAGAGGTTCTAATAGTGGCACAAATCAAGTTACAGAGGGAAGGTGGTTCTTACAATAAAAGGCCTATAGACTAGCACTTTGTCTATTATAGTGTACAGGTTAGGAACCACAAGATGTAGAGGCTCATCTATGTCATTTATGCTTCCTAAGTCCTGGAGCAAATTCCATCTACCACTGGGCTGTTTTACAACTCAGAAGTTCACATGCAAGGTAGAGGTGAAGTAAGGAACTGCTTATGAGGTTTTCCGTCCATTCCAACAACTAAGAGATAGTGAGAAGAGTTGGGACCTCAGAAGGCTTTTAGGACCAATTAGTAGGCTCTGTGTCCAGGAGAAAATGAATATACTTACCAGTAATGTTAATGCTCATCCACGGCTCTTCTGGGAGGGTCTAAATTGTTGAAGCGTCCTCCTTTGTTTCCAGCTGGGAGCTGGGGCCTGTCAGTCCTGTCTGCCATGAGGACCTGATGTGGGCCATCTTGGCCAAGTGTCCTTCAGAGCCACACTTAAAGCAAGTGAGTGGGAGCTTCCTCTCTACTCCCTTGCCTATCTGTGGCCTTCGCCAAGACATTTTCTTGAATCTATTCTATCTGAATTTCAAAATAATTTTATGAACAGATTTGAGGCATTGAACACCAATGATTTTAGACCAGATGAGTTGTGGGATGATATGAAGGGTATCATCCATGTAGAAAACAAAAAGTTGTTCCAAGGACAGATGAAAAAGAAAAAAACAAAAAATGGATGTCAGAAGAAACGAAAAATTTCTCTGGAGCATTGAGAAGCCAAAGCAAAGGGAAAACATGCTACAATAAAAGAGCTGAACAGAAGATTTCGAAGGGCAGCTTGAGAGGACAAAGAAAAGTATTATAATGAGATATTCAGAGAGTTGGAATTGGAGAATAAAAAGGGAAGAACTTCCTCTGCATTTCTCAAGCTGAGAGAACTGAAATAAAATTTAACCTTCTTGTTGCAATATTAAAAGATGCTATGGGAAATATATTGAATAACCCAGAAAACATCAAAAGACATTGGAGGGAACATACAGAATTGCTGTATCAAAAAAAAATTGACACTGATAATGGTAATGAAGGAGGAAGTAGAAGCTGAATTGACGTCATTAGCAAAAAATAAACCCCCAAGATTTGATGGGTTACCAATTGATTTGTTTCAATTAAGAGATGCAACCTTGGACGCGCTCACCAGTGAATACCAGGAAATTTAGAGGTTAGCTGTCTGGCCTGGACTGGAAGAGGTCATATTTGTTCCCATTCCCAAGAAAGATAGTTCAACAGAGTGGACACTACCGAAGCGTTTCATTAATATCACATGCAAGCAAAAATAGTGCTGAAGATCATTAAAAAATTGTTAGAACAGTACATAGATAGGGAACTTCCAGGCAGTATTTAGAAGAGCCTATGGCACCGGAGTTATCCTTGCTGATGCCAGAGGAATCCTGGCTGAAAGTAAAGAATACCAGAAGATGTCTATTTGTGCTTTATTGACTATGCAAAGGCATTTGACTGTGTGGATCATAAGAAACTATGGCTAACATTGAGACTAATAGTTCTAGATTACTTGATTTCAAAACCTCTACCTCGATTAGAAGACTTTTGTGCAAACAGAGCTAGGGAACCTAGTAAGGTTTACAATTAGAAAGTGAGTGGTCAATGTTGTTTTCTCTCTTCCATACTTATTTGGTTTGTGTGCTGAGCAAATTATTCCAAGAGGCTGAACTCTATGAGGAGGAGCGTAGCATAAAGATTGGAGGGAGATTCCTCAATAATCCGACTTCATGGGAATAGGTTTATTTTATTGATATTGTTGAGAAGGACAGTTCCATTTTTTGAAGTAGATAGAACTCAGACATGGTTGTCCCCACATGGCTCATGTTCTTCTTATAGCCATTTTCATGATCATTGGTCTATTTGAGTCCATTGTGTAGCTATTGTATCAATCTATCCTAGTGAGGGTTTCCTACATATTTGCACTCTCTTTACTCTGAGGCTTCATCTCACATACTTTGGATGTGTTGCAAGGCAGGACCAATCCTTGGAGAGGGACATCATGCTTGGGAGGGTGGAAGGACAGTGCAGGAAAGGAAGACCCTCTATGAGGTGGATTGATTCAGTGACTGGAGTAATGGGGGTAGGTGTGTCAGAGAAAATGAGATTGGCACAGGATGGGGCAGGGCTTAGGGCTGTTGTACATAGTGTCGCTGTGAGTCACAGGTGACTCGGCAGCACATAACAATAATTACTGAAAGTGTCTGGCTCTCAGATATGATCTTTCCTGACGTTATATCCCAAGCAGTTGAGTCAAGGTTCTTACCTTCCAGCCACCTTAGGAGTCTTCTTGTTGCATTTCTTGTAAGGCTGATTTATTTATTCTTCTAAC